GGCCCGGCCCGGGTAGGTAGGTAGGTAGGTGCCTGCGCCCTGCGAGCCGAGGTCGCGGTGTTTGGGGCTCCGCTCGGGCGCGTGGCGCCGGCAAAATCCACCTGCTCCGGGTGCTCGGTCTCTGGGACACCCTGGTTCGTGACCCCCTCGGCTTGGGGTCGCGGTGCTGGGGCAGGGCTCAAGGGCATCGCCTCGTTCCTCGCCCCGGAGCCGGGTGCTTGCCCTGCAGCGAGCCGGCTCTTGGCTGCCGCTGAAAAGCAAGTCCTTCTGCTGGGGCCGGGCGCTTGCTGCACAAGAGAGACCGATGGAGAGCCAGCTTTCCCTTGTGTTGAGAGCTAATGGAGTCCTAATAGGCTGAGCTTAAAGTCAGGGACTCCTGACCGCTGATGCTGCCCTCGGACTAGGTTTACTCTAGGCCATCTCCTGCACTCAGGCCAACCTAGACAGAGCTCAGCACTGGCGTGAAGTCCTCTGGCCTTCGTGGGCCTGACTTGGACACGCCACTTCATTCGTCTCACTGGCTGCATTAGAAAGATGGGAGTAACATTACAGGGGCTCTCTGAAGTGTTGTTAACTTGTATACCGCACCACAGTAAAGTGCTGTTAAAACGCCAAGTGTTGATACCGTGCGACTGGATTTTTCTTCTGTAAGCCGTTCCAAAACCTGAAATGCAACCTTGAATTCAGCAATAGTGATACAGCAGAAAGTCTGCTTGTGGGTCGCAAAGGACGTGTCAGGAAAGCAAGTGCTGTCTGGGGTGTTGCTGGAGCTGCTGGGCAGAGTTAGTGCCCTGGTGCTCATGGCTGTGCATCTACATCAGGGGCAGGCAAAATGCAGCCCACAGGCCAGATGTGGCCCGCCAGGCCACTCTATCTGGCCCTCAGGGCCCCTAAAAAATTTAGAAAATTCGTATTTATCTGCCCCTGACTACCTATCATGTGGCCCTTGATGGCTTGCCAAAACCCAGTAAGCGGCCCTCCACCCAAAATAATTGCCTGCCCCTGATCTACATCCTTGCTATGTACTTTAAGCCATGTTCTGACTGCCCACTAGTGATTGGTCCAACTTACATGAAAGCAAAGGGATTTCCAAAGGGATGGCTCTGGGGAGGTTGGAGCCTGACATTTGGAAGTTGAGACTCTACCACCACTGTCCACATCTAGACAGCATTGACTCATCTGTTCATCTTGATGTAGACAGAATAAAGTGCTTTCTGCAAGCTCTGGTTTTTCAGGGCTTAACTATATAAGTCAAGATCATACCTATTTTTTGCATCTATTCAAATCCTACTGTACAACATCCTTAACAGGGGGTTGCCTGTATAGTCTACCTGGAATGGCCCATCTGGGTGGTTTATGACTTATCTCCAGTAATCAGCAGACTGTATTTTGGTTGTGGAATGTATGTGTAAGTGTGTATGAACATACCACGCAAATGCAATTTTGGGAACACTTTAAGGAGAGAAATGCTAGGTAAAAGATTTATTTTATTCTTGCATCCATGATTTATGCTGTTCAGGTGCACTGCTGTGCTTTCATTTTGCCCCATTGACTTCATTAGATATCTGCATAGGTGTGACAGTCTCCTCGCTTGTTGTAAACTCAGGATACATAATGGGTCACTTGCAGAGAAATGCATGCTCTGTTTCCATATATTAGCCTTCCGAATAAAGAATGGGGGGTGAGGAACATGGAAACATGAGGCAAAGGAGAACAATTGCTAAATTACATGTTTTATCTTTTTCTTCCACAGCGTCACACAACCTAAGGCTGTTTGATGATCAGTTGGGGAATATGACCAGAATGATCAAATCCTTATAGAAAACAAGTATGTGTGTCACTAGATATATAATCTCAATGCCAGAATTATTGGAAATCAAAACTTTCCAGTTAAGTGATGCTAAAAGACCCCCCTGTCAAGGATGACTTACAGGATTTAAAGGATGTATTCCAATCTCTCTTAAACTACCTATGAGATCCTGGCTAAATCATTTGGGGGGAAAAAAGGCCCCTCTTTGCCTCTGTTTCCCCATTAGTAAATGGGCCTAATAATTCTAACCTTGATAAATACTTTCGCACAGCTTCATTCATGAATAGTCTGTGTGACACTGTCCATTCTTGCTTTCAGAATGAAATTATAATATATATATATATATA